ATACTCAGTCTCTGTCCCCCAGATTCCCAGTCTGTGTCTTCAACCACATACACATAACATACGCTTTGTGCACTACACACATTACATATCCCAGCACGTTAAACATTTGAGAAAAATTTTAGGCTGCATTCACACTTCTGCGTTGCTTTGCATTACAACACACATTACCACATGTGTTGTGTGCTAAGGTGCGTTGCGTTTACACAGCCCAAAACTTACCAACAGACCAAAAAAACACACAACTTTTTTTACTTTCAAACATTTTTATTAATATTATAAAAGAGAAGTACATCAAAAGACAACATTGCAAATGGTACGTCATCCAGAGCCCTGGCACATATATTGATGGTAATGGTAAGCCAGTAGAGAGAATAGCTTAGGGGAGCTAGATCAAGAGTAATCAAGAGCTATCTAATTTTCCCCAGAACAGTATCCAGACAAGACATCATATTAGAGTCTGATAACAAAAGTAACAATAGATCCATCATGCTCAATTTGCAGCTCAGTCTTCAAACCCAATAAAGTAACAAATTTCTCAGCCTTAACAGGCTACAGACCATTGCCCAAGGTGCAAATACAAACAGAAAAAATAAAGGAAGATGGAAGAAAGAAAAGTACAAAAAGAAAGGAAGGGGAAACCCAGGGAGAGAGGAGTTGTGGAGAGCCTCAAATGGCTTGTACCCAAGGGGTTTAGAGCTGCTAAAGCTGAATATGGACCTAGCTGGCCCAGGGATCCCAAACAGCCTCAAATCATTTGGAGGTGTCTTTAATCACACTAGTTAATTGTTCATTTAGCATAATCCAAGAAACTTTGCATCTATACAAAGACATATGGACGGAGGGTTTCTTCTAGGAGCAGGCTATGGTGAGTTTAGCAGCTAGAAACAAAAAAACTAGCCTTCTTTTGGACTGGGGTAGGTCCTGTACTGGTTCATTTAATAAAATGATGCAAGGTTGTTGGGGAACCGGAATCCCCGAGACCTTTGAAATGAGAGAAAATACCTTGTTCCAATAGCCTTGTAACTTCAGACATTCCCACCATATACAGTTAGGTACATATATATTTGGACACAGGCACAATTGTAGATTTTTTTCAGGTACTTACCAAAACATATTTAAGCTATAGTTTTATAATGGATATGGGCTGAAAGTGCACACTCTCAGGTTTCATTTGAGGGTATGTACATCCAAATTGGAGGAAAGGTTTAGGAATTACAGCTCTTAAGAGTAGCCTTCCCCCCTTTTTCAAGGAACCAAAAGTAATTGGCAATCGAATATAATCATAAATAAAATGTTCATTTTTAATATTTTGTTGAGAATCCTTTACTGGCAATGACTGCCTGATATCTGGAACCCATGGACATTACCAAAGACTGGGTTTCATCCTTTCTGATGCTTTGCCAGCCTCTAACTGCAGCTGTCTTCAGTTGTTCTTTGTTTGTGGGTCTTTCTGCCCTTAGTTTTGCCTTCAGCAAGTGAAACGCATGCTCAATTGGGTTGAGATCAGGTTATTGACTCGGCCATTGCAGAATATTGCACTTTTTTTCCTTCAAAAGCTCCTTGGTTGCTTTCGCAGTGTGTTTTGGATCATTGTCCATCTGTACTGTGAAGCGCTGTCCAATCAACTTTGCTGCATTTGGCTGAATCTGGGCGGACAGTATGTCTCTAAGCACTGCAGAATTCATCCGGCTACTTCTGTCTTTTGACATATCATTAATAAACACCAATGACCCAGTGCCACTGGAAGCCATGCATGCCCATGCCATAACACTGCCTCAATGTTTTACAGATAACGCTGTGTGCTTTGGTTCATGAGCCGTTCCAAGCCTTCTCCACACTTTTTTTCTTCCCATCATTCTGGTACAGATTAATCTTAGTTTCATCCGTCCAAAGAATGCTTTTCCAGAACTGGTCTGGCGTTTTTAGATGTTATTTTGGAAAAGTCTAATTTGGCTTTTCTATTCTTCAGGCTTATGAATGGTTTGCACCTTGTGGTGAACCCTCTGTATTTGCTCTCGTGAAGTCTTCTCTTGATTGTAGACTTTGACAATGATAAGCCCACCTCCTGGAGAATGTCCTTCACTTGTCTGGATGTTGTGAATGGGTTTTTCTTTACCACAGAGAGGATCCTGCAATCACCCACCACTGTTGTCTTCTGTGGACATCCATGTCCTTTTATGTTGCTGAGCTCGCCAGTGTTTTTCTTTCCTCAGAATGTGCCAAACTGTTGATTTGGCCACTCCTAATGCTGCTGATATCTCTCTGATGGATTTGTTTCATTCTTGAAGCCTTACAATGGCCTGTTTCAGTTGCATGGACAGCTCCTTTGAACATATGATGTAGGTTCACAGCAATAGATACCAAATGCAAATACCAAAATTAGAATCAATTCCAGACCTTTTACCTGCTTAATTGATGAAGAAATAATGAAGGAGTAGCCCACACCTGGCCATGAAACAGCTTTTGATTCAATTGTCCAATTACTTTTGGTCCCTTGAAAAAGGGGGATGGCTACTCTTAAGAGCTGTAATTCCTAAACCCCCTTCCTCCAATTTGGATGTACATACCCTCAAATGAAACCTGAGAGTGTGCACTTACAGCCCATATCCATTATATAACTATAGCGTTAATATGTTTTGGTAAATACCTGAAAAAATCTACAATTGTGCCTGTGTCCAAATATATATGGACCTAACTGTATAGTACATAGTGCCAAGCAAGTGACAGCCCCGGAAACAAAGGGGTGAAGAAAGTGGATACAGCCTGAAGAAATGAGAGGGGACCATGCACCATCTGGTCATCACCTTTACATTCGCTTCCACTAAAGAAATATTCAATAAACCCTTGTACACTGAGTGGAAGGAAGAATGCCAATGTACTATATATTTCTCGGAGGCTAACTCTGAGTCCCACGCCAGCATGTAGGGAAATTTGTCATCGGGGGCGAGCAGCAAACTTGTGCTATTACAGATATCACTCCTTTGTGCCCTGCCTCCCATGTACACAATGACTCATAAGGGGTAACTTTGGGGCCTTTAGTAACTGCTGGGCACAGGGAGCACAGAAAATGGGAAAATTGATAAAACTGAAACGTTTCAGAGGGAGGCATTTTCAATTTAAACCAGCAGTTGTCATGGACTCTCTAACGGTATCTCTATAGGTCCACAGTCTGGGATTCCCCAGGGCACGGGGGCTAAGCCCCAGTCTGCTTGTTCACCAGCGCCCCTGATGGTGGGGATGGACTTGGAGCAGGCTGAGACCAGGTCGCGGCCCCCCGGGTAAACCCAACCGTGGTAGAGAGGCCCGCTAGTGGAACATAGCTTGGTAAGAGCCTGATGTGAAGAGGCAGGGAAGACCTGAGCAGTAAACGGATAGATCCGTGCAGGATGGATGGATGCGGACACACCGTGAAGCAAGTAGCGGAGTCAGACAGGCTGGGTTAGTAACCGTGGTGGCAGAACGGAATCAGAGCAGCAGGCAAAGGATAGTCGGGTCACAGGCCAAGTTCAGCAACAGGAGGTCAAAAGATCAGGAGCAGGCAGAAGAGTATCCAGAGACAAGCCAGGGGTCAGGGCAGGAGAAGATCATGATAGTCAGGAGCAGGCTGGGTTCGGCAACAGGAAACTCAGGATCAGGAATCACAGGCAGAGGAATAAGACCATATGGCAATTTGGATCCTGCAGTGGCCCATTTAAATAGCCTGCCCAGCGCCGACAGGCGCGTCTGGGTTCTAGTTCCTGCTTGCGCCGTCATTGGTGACAGGCGCGCCTGGGTCCTAGTGCCCGCCTGCCTGTATGCCTTGTCGGGATCCTGCGCATGCGCAGATTCATGCGCTGCGGCGATCTTCTCGTTCCCTGACAGCAGTAAAAGGACCTTTGGGTGTTAAAAAATGGCTGATCCGGTACAGGTCTTTATTTAGCCACAAGTGAAAGGTCTCTAAGTCTTGACTCAAGGGGAAAAGCAGGATTGTTGAAAAGATGGGACAATAGGTGAAAAGATGAAATTAGCTTACAATTGTTTCACACTCAATCCCAAACAACGAGGGAATTGGATAAGGTAGGGGCCATAATAGGTGGCCTTTGCCTTGCAGGTTGCCATTTGACAAAGTCCAGCAGGACCATATTGACTGCCCTCTGTTCCATAGAAACCAAACCGTGTTTCTCTGAGTAAACTACTGGCAGTTGGGCAACCCGACTTGGTAATATTGGGCAAGGCGGGGGAGGCCCAACCCTCCAGCCATTTTGTGAGCAAAAAGCACTTGTTTCAACAGCCTTTCACCCTTCCCAAACAACTTTTTTTTCAATGTAATGCAGTACAGCACTACCATATAGTACCTAAGAGGCATTGCCCTCAAAACACAGCAGTTAACCATTGCCTGTGAACTAGCAACTCCAATAAACTTCCTAAACATACCTTCAAGTGTGACATATTTTTCTACATGAGTGTGCCTCTACACCCATCCAACTGTATTTTGCCCATTCAGGGCACAGTGACAGTATCACTATCAGTGAAAAGGTTGATCAACCCCTTAATACTTGCCTCTCCAGCATGTCTCACCACTCCTGCCTACAGCTTAGCCAGTACAACACACATACTGCTTTTTCTAGCAGTCAATCATAAGGCCCAAGCAGTGATGTCAACAATAGTCTCTTATGGCCCATCTGATGTCAGCACTCCCTCTTCCCCGCAGCAGCCACCACTGGCTTCAAGGGGCAAGGAGATCTTGTGGCTGGACTGAAGTGCCCTGAAAATAGGCAAGTATATACATCTTTTTTACACAATTCTGTCAGCATAGGTATAAGGAGGGGGGAGAGAACATTTTTAAGATTAGATAGGTATAGCCTGGAAATCTACTTTAACCACCTTCCGCCCGCCCTATAGTACAATGACAGGCGCAAGGTGGTTCTCTCGTTCTGATAGGATGTCATATGACGTCCTACCATTCTCACTGTGTATGCGCGGCTCAGGAAGCGCACAGCGCGGCGATTGCCGGTGCGCTGTGTCCCTCGGACACAGCGGATCACAGAAAGAGCCGAAGATGTCGGCTCGGTCATGTGATCAGCTATGTCCAATCACAGCTGATGACATGTAAACATGGAAATGCCGGTTATCTGCATTTCTCTCCTCTCGAGCTGTCACGCTGACAGCTCGAGAGGAGAGGAGAGCCGATAACCGGCTTTCCACGGAGGGGACATGTACACTGATCATCAGGGCACTGATGATCAATGTGCCCTGATGATCAGTGTGGCCCCAGAAGTGCCACCTGTCAGTGTCCATCAGTGCCACGTGCCCATCAGTGGCACATACCAGTGCACATCAATGCCACATATCAGTGCCCATCTGAGCTGCCTTTCAATGTCACCCATCAGTGCAAGTCAGTGCCACCTATCAATGCCAATCAGTGCCACCTATCAGTGCAAGTCAGTGTCGCCTATCAGTGCGCATCAGTGCCAGCAAATCAGTGCCAGTCAGTGCCGCCTATCAGTGCCACCTACCAGTGTCATGTATCAGTGCTGCCTTTTAGTGCCCATCAGTGATGCCTGTCAATGCCCATCAGTGCACTCTACCAGTGCCTCATCAGTGCCACCTATCAGTTTCCATCAGTGCAGCCTATCAGTGCCCATCACTGCAGCCTCATTAGCGCACATCAGTGAAGGAGAAAAATCACTTATTTACAAAATTGTATAAAAAAAACTAAGAAAAAACTTTTTTTTTTTCAAAATTTTCAGTGGTTTTTTGGTTTAAGAAAAAATAAAAATCCCAGAGGTGATTAAATACCACTAAAAGAAAGCTCTGTCTCAAAAAAATTATAAAAATTTCATATGGGTACAGTGTTGCATGACCGCACAATTGTCATTCAAAGTGTGACAGCGCTGAAAGCTGGAAATTGGCCTGGGTGGGAAGGGGGTATAAGTGCCCTGTAGGCTAGTGGTTAAAGTGTGGTAGGATTTACTGGGATTAAAATCAAAATGAATGCAACTGCAATGCACCGCCCTGTTAATTTTGCAGTACCGTACATAGCTGTAACACATTACCCCAACACATAGCTGCAAAGCCATGAGCCTGTGCCAAGCAGCTGCCCCACTGTATACTGACAACAGAGCACTGCACCCTCAACAGTTGCCATTCACAGACTATCTTATATTTTTTTCAATAAATTAAAGCAGTTCTCTGGTTGGATGCAGTGTAAATAAGTGCAGTAACATCACAATCTCCACCTTGTCTAATTAGGAAAACATCTTCATTCATTGAAAAAAATACAAAGCATTCTGTGAATGGCAGCCATGCCGAGTGAGCAAGCCCCTGTACTCAATGAGCAGAGAGGAAGACACTCGGCACAGGACCTGAAAGATTATTGTGATCACTGTAGTAGCACTGACTACTACAGTGCTAGCCAGCTTCTCCAGCGGTCCCTCAGGCTTGAAATATGCATACGGTACTTACATTGGTCAAAGCTGGACCCATTTAAATATGCAATTAAGATTATACCTGTGGTACAGCTTTAAAGTATAGCCAGAACTTGTTTGTTTTAAATAGAATGGGGAAGTGTTTTTTTTTTTGCAGTGTCTTCACTGGAAGAATCCCTCTCTATTTGCTCTGCTGGCTTTTGTCACCTGGATTGAAAGTAATGGGAAAGTCAAAATTGTACAGTTGTCACCGGACCAAGAACAGAGGGAACATTTTCCAATGGGGACACCTTTTCCATTGATTTAGCCATGCTTTGGAATGATAAACTCTTGTATTCTATTGTATTGTATTCTTGTATTGTCTTGGGACAGAAACAAAGGAGATAAAAAACTGAACAGCTTTTAAATATTTCCTGCCTTATTCAAAATGAAAGAAAAAAAAAAAGTTTTGGCTTTAGATATACTTTAGTTGTATGTACAGGCATTATAGGGACCAAGAAGCAGGTTAGAAATTATATTTACCATAATTTGAATCTTTTCCCTAAAAACAAAGTTCTGTTATAGACAAAGATTTTTTTCCATTATTTATTTATTTTTAGCAATAAAAAAAAAAAAAAAAAAGGAAATCCTTCATACCCATGTGGTAAAAGCATACATGTCTGACTCACTAAGGTTGATTTACTAAAGCCAATTAGGCTGTTCACATTGCAAGATAATTTTCCCCAGAGCTTAGTGAATGATGCAAAAATTCAGTCCACAAAGAATACCCAGTCATGTGCAAAGAAAATAAAAACACAAACAGTATTTAGGCTTGCACGACTGGATGGAAGGTTAGCAGAGCTTCACCTCATTCACTAAGCTCTGGGGAAAATCCTTGCAAAGTGAGCAGCCTATTTTCTTTTAGTAAATCAACCCCCCTGCAGCTATTGGGCCCGATGAGCAATCAAGAATATTAATACGAACCCAGTGCAGATTAAAAGGAATGTTGAGTTATTTATGGATTGCTGGGTGTTCATGAATAGGGCTGGTCCAATGGAGGTGCATACACATATGAAATAGCGACTTTCTGTCATCATTATCACACCTAACAATATTTCTGGAAACGGATGTTGGTAAGGCTTTATTCACTCTGTTAAACACAGTTTCTTACTACTCTGGTCTGGTAAGGCTATGATCAAGAACACTTGTTTCTGGCTACAATGCTCTGGCTTAGTGGTAATCACTAACACTAGACTTTGGGCATACTACAGCGCATGCCCGTTTATCTGCACAGGGATGCAAAGGTGTTCCATGAATCCCCATGCAGGCAGTCCTACTCATGTCAGCTGGACCACAGCCACTGCTCCCAATTTACAATCCGTGTAGGTGCACAGTCCCAATAGCACATTGTCTACACTTGGGGCCGTGCATCCGCACAGATTTAAAATTGGGAACAGTGACTGTGTCCATGTAGCTGCTGCGTCCCAATTGACATGAATGGGACTGCCTGCAGACGGATGCTAAGAACACCTGGGTTTCCCATGTGGGTAAACATGGCCCTTGCAGGGTCGCACACTGTACCAACACCTGTTTGAACAGGGCCTAACTGACACAGAGTGGACCCTTTACACCACTAGTGGTAACACTGGGCTCATACCAAAGTGCAGAGTCTAAGCCCTGGTTCACATATGTGCGTTCCTGCGGGCCGCGTTTTGTGTGGGCACGATAGCCCATTCATTTTAATGCACTCCCGTGCCCCGGGACACACAGGGAATAAGTCCCTGCACTTCTTTGGAAACTGCAGCCTGCATGGGAACCTCGGTTCCAGTGCGGGCGGTCTGCCATTAGATAGCACCAGCCCGCGGGTCTGCATTCTTCTGCGTGGGTGGTGCAGCTGCATGAATTTTTGTGCGGATCCGCAGTGGCACCACCCGCACATATGTGAACCTAGCCTAAAGAGGGACAGCTCTACTATGTTTGAACTAGGTAGAGATCAGAGTAGGCATCACTCATTAAAGGCTGCATTACAAGAAGGATTGAGGCTAGCAGGAAACAGAAAAACACAGCAAATAAGAGATCAGGTTAATGTAATTTCTGGGGGAGCAGACATGTTCACAGCAGCCCGGGAACTTTTCTTAGTATGTTGCTCTTATGCACTGAATAAAGTTTGTGTTTGTTACAGTAACTTTGAAATGTGTCCAGAATGTAGTTTCCTCTTCAGATTTGCAGGTGGCATAGGTGCACACTTATATTAATTACCCCAAAGAAAAAATATCACTGGGATGACTAGGGACATCAAAGCCAGATGAAGAAGGATGTTTCCACCACTGACCAAGGCATGAGCACCTGGGAGGGATTCATTATTGCAGCATAAAATATCAAACGAATGTCAATATTTTATCCGTTAATACTGATAAAAACTTTTTCATGTACAATTCCAACATTACTGTACAAGACATGGAGGTAAAGGACACATCTGTGCCACACTCTCTTTATACAGAACATGAAAAGTTAAAGCGGTAGCAATCCACAAAAAAACAAATCCCCTGAAAGGTAATGTCATAATAATGCATTGCATACTAGCACATTATGAAGGACTTACCTTAAAACGAAGCCCTCCAGCGGCGTGCTGTCACCGCTGACAGGGCTTCCATCTTCATCCGCGATATATCACTCCCATGCATGCGCACGCAAGTCCCAGAGCACGATCCAGTGCTCTGAAGGAATGGCACAGGTATGCAGTTCCTTCAGAGTGCATGTGCCGGCTCTCAAAAAGAGCAAATATCTCATAAACTGTACACGTTTAGAAGATATTCATTTTACCTACGGGTAAGCTTTATTATACGCTTACCCAAAGGTAAAAGTATAAAAAAAAAAAAGAAGGGTTAACTACCACTTTAAACTGGTATTAAATCCAAAAACAAAACTGTAATATATTAAAGCTAACCAGTCTTAGATGTGGTGGATTCATTACATTTTCTTTTTAGACTTATTACTTTACTTTCACCTAGTGCTCCAGTCAGTAAGTCTGTTATTTTATAGTTTCCTTTGACAGTACAAGGTGCTGTCCAAAGGTGTCTCCACTGCTCCTCCATCCAGTATGAAGACAACCTATGCCTCCATGCACACTATATGCATTTGCAGTTTAGTGGGGGGGGGGGGGTTCTGCCTCTAAAGTCATGTTTAGGAGAGAAGCTTTTGAGCATAAAAAACCCCAAAAAGCACCTGAGCACGTGTTTTTTTTCACTTTGTGTGCATGGTGTCTCCGGGTCTTTTGAGCGTTTTTTTCATTTCAATAGCCAGAAAAAAAAAAAACAAACGCTTTACCCACTAAATGTGTTTGCAAAAACGCAGCTCATGTGAGTTTTTGAAGCTTCTTGTCTTCTCTCAGGAGAACAGCACTTATGAAAGCCCCAGTGTGCAGAAAGTCTAAGATAGGAAGTGTGTTACTGGCCAGATCACCAGGTGAAAATAAAGGAAAGAATCCTAAAGAAAGAAAAAATGCAGCCACCTCATGAAGAATGGTCAACTGCAATATAATAAATGTTTGCTTTTGGGGTTAATACTGCTTTAAACTGTATATAAACCCAAGAATCATGATCATTGCCTATTGATATCAGCAGAATTGTGAAATTAGTTTGAAATGTCTGTGGGCACCATCGCATAAGATGCCCCTGTGCTGGTGATCTTGAGGGGAACTCTACTGGTTGGGTTGCACAGCTCTGCTCCAGTTTGGTATTGTTGTTCCTCAAATATAGAAGATATATCTACTGAGCATGTACCCACATGTGCTCCAATATCATACCAGGATCTGTAGAGATCATTAGTTGGGTCACTTACAAATGTCACTGTGCTGCCTAATGCCTTTTGCCAGTTTTAAACCTTTCCATACGGAGGCAATGTCAGCTTATTAAAAATGTCAAAAGCACAGACCGATTGCTTCTCTTGTTACCCATTGTCATATGAAGCTCACATTTAACAAAATGATCATGTCTGACATTCTTATTTCTGTGTTTTGTCCTTTCCAGTTACCTAGGGATCGCTTTTCTCTCTACCACTTAGGATTAATGTTACAG